CGGGGCGGAAAAAAAACCCAGCCCACAGCGCTTGCCCAAACCTTATCCTGCGCGAGGGTGCTGTCCATGCAGAGAATGGTTCAGGGGCCTACCCTGCAAGGCGAATTTCATTGTAGTTCGGGAACGGTTTGTCTGCGTGTACTGGTGCCTCAAACCCTCATCATCGACCCAAAATCCCAACAACTTTGCACCCAGCTGAATCATCTGAATTACCCTGCTCGCGAAGCTGCATCCAACCCAAATTACAAGGCCTCAGTCTCCGAAATTCCAGAGCCATGGCTCAACGCTATGATGCTCTGCAGTCGCCGAGCCCTCATCTCCATCAGAAGTCGCAGGGCCATGGTAGCCTCGAGGCAGCGCTCTTCGCATAAGGCGAGTTTCAATGGCTAGCTTGATGCATGTGGGTTTGGCGTGTTTACGATCATTCGTTCTGATGCCTTAGTCAGCTCCTGATTAGGAACTCGATCTTCTACGTATAAGTTCTGGGCATTGCATTCGAATGAGACTTCTTGTTCGTCGTGAAAGCTACACTCACCACAGGTCCTCATAGGGATAGCATTTGCATGAACATGCCGTATTACTAGGTCACGAGGTCGTCCCACCCTAACGGCAACAATCCCAAACGCCGACACTCAGGCCTGCGTTGTTGAAACAAGCATCATTGCAGCCCAAAACAAAATCGCGGGTATGCAATCGCCAAATCAACTTCGACAACACTCGGCGGCTTTGTCACCAGCACGACACAGTCGCACGACTTGCATTGTAGAACCGAAAGCTCAGCAGCCCTCCCCTTGAAGCCAACATGACTCGCCCGCAACCATGGTGGGTCCATAGGTTGACAAATCAAGCTGTGGGTCATCAGACAATGGTCCTGCACGCTCAACCCTCTGCCCTGCCGTTGCCTGCCCTGTGCGCTCACAGGCGCTTATTGCAGAGACATAGGAGATCACGTCCAGTTGCAGGCCATTTGTTTCAACCTGGAGGGATGTTTGGCAGTTGTCATGCAGTAATCAAAAAAGTCTCTGTGCCAGTATGTGACATCGAGACACAAGTTTCAAGACCCCGGTCTGTTGTCTTCTTACTTGGGGTGCACGGACTCACGCTCTGGATCCTGCATTTGTTCGACTTCGTGTCCGGAATCCTGCAGAGATCAAGCTCCATGCAAAGCCTGCAACCTCGCCTCACACCTTACCACACAACCATACAGAAACTGTGAAGTCTGAACGATATTTAGGGGGAAGCTGTTGATTCCATGAATTCCAAATTCAACTTGCAGAACTTGCAGGGCCGCCTGAGAAAGCACCTCCAAGGCAAGGCTCCACTGAGTGTCTTGCTCCTCGCTTGGTGTGTGGTGGCGTGCGGTGGTAAGAGCTCGTCTCGGCTTCCGTGATTCACAAGGGTTTTGCATGTGTGGGGCTTGGGCTGCTCGGTGCTTCTTCACTGTTCGGCGCCTTCCCTGGCCTAATCTGAAAGCTTGAGAGCTTTTGAAGTTTAAAGCTCGCGAATGCGCAGACCCGCCACATGCACTGAACTGGCCCTAGACCTTACAGTAGAATCTCCGAAGCCTCACAGCCCCAAAATGACAAAAACCGCTGCAGCCAGAAACTCAGCAGCCCCGAAGGCCCGCAAAGACCTGACAGCCCGAAGACTCGAAGACCCTTCCTCCAGGCCGCGGAGAATCAGGTTGTAAGTGAAAACATCTGGTCTCAGTTGTCGGCCCTCGGGCACGGAAAGCAGTGGAGGAGAGGCAGATACCAGGTGGTGAAGGACAAGATCAAGTGCGGCTACGTGAAGCTTGGATCAAGAGGCTGCGCTGGGTCTACATTGAATTTGGCCAGACCAAAACCGAACACGACCTTTGGCGACCGGAATGTCAACGATGAATGGACCCTCCCTGGTCTACGCACAAGAGTCTGCAAAGGATGGACCCCCAATGCCTTTCTACATTGTTGTCATGTGCAACATACACTCGGCGAAACTACCGGCAAATTCGGAAGCAGGCCCGCTGAACAGAAATGAATGAGAAATTAAAGGTGCCAACCTCCTCGGAACGTCACAACATGCCAGACCTCTCCCGCCAAACACAAACACAACCTAAACCATGAGCTTTTGACTCGTGGCACCTAAACCGGGCCTCGAGCTGCTGGAGAAGATCGCAGCTGAGCGGCCACAAACCTGATCCTTGGCCTCACGAATACACAGGCATTGCTGCGTTGTTCTAGATTTGAGTCCCTTTCCAGAGGGCAAAAGAATTCAACAGAATAATCAGACACACTCGCGAGACCGGGCAAAAAAAACACCATTTTCAATGAAGGAGGGTTGAAGAAACTGTAGTTCGGTAGACGACTTTGAGACTCAGCCCTTCCCCTCCCAATCTGAGGCCAAGCTTGCCTCCTGCAAACCTTCTTGTTTGATGATAGCCGGGGGTACGCTGGGAAGGCTTGAACGAAAGATGTAGCTTTAAGGCTCACAGTCACATCGAATCTGCAGGGCAATTAGGAACTCCGAAAAACCCAACCTGAACATGTTGCCTCAAATATTCAAGCTCGAAGTGGCAGGCACAAATCCCGGCATTGAAAGTCACGACGTCTGGGGCAAGCGATGTCGCTTCTGTTTCCTGCCAAGAACCATGAAGTTGCCGTTGAGCATCTATGTTTGTGATGCCAGGGTTGGGCTTCAAGTCCTGAGGCTTTTCGTGCTCTCTCTGCTGAAGCATCTGACACCAGTACTCAGCTGTTTGTGGGGTATTGGCGGTGGTCGTTGGTGTTGCTGCTGCCGATACGGCCGACTGCTGCTGCTGCTGCCGCCGCTGCTACTGCTGCTGCTGCTGCTGCTGCTGATGCTGCTGGGACTGCTGAGACTGCTGAGACTGCTTGGAGTGCTGTGATGGTCTGGTTGTGGTTATAGTCGTGTTTGTTTTGGGTGTGCTCGTGGTCGCTGTGGCCGTGATGGCCACTCGTGGTTACTATACACACAGGGAAACAAAAAATGCCGAATCCAGTCACCGAAAACTCCGCATCACCTTCGTTCGATACACGCACCCATGCAACCCCCTGCCCAATGGAAATCTCAATCGACATTGACATGTTTTAGAGTGCGCGAGGCTTTTCAAAGATGAGGGCCTGAACCATGTGAAGCGCCAACTCCCAACATCGTGCCGTGCCGCAGGCACTGATGGCAGCATTGTACCTTTTCTGCGGAAGCCTACCCTGAACGTAAGACGTCGGCAGGGTCGACAGCGAATGTGTAAGAGACCGCAGCACTCGACCAAAGCAAGGCCAGTTCGGCTCCTTGCGGTTCCGAGGCTTCGGGACCCCAGCCACAATTTCTCGGTCATCGGGGTCTGGGAGGCATACGATGCGGGCAGGGCACACGACGATGTCCAGCTGAAGCCCCTGCCTGTCCACCTGCTCTACACATGAAGACAAGCTTGAAAAAAAAGAGAAGACTACCGTCACAAGGCCAGGCACCAAAAAACGTTTACTGTATCACTTTGCTAGCCCTCGAAAGGCATCGGAGCACAGCACCCAGTGACATCTAAACATCTGTGAGTATCTAGCTCTGCGAGCATCACATCCTTGGATTCTGCAGATTCCGAAAGTCAATGTCGGTTGCCAAACACCCCGCACTGGAAACTGCGCCTCGACTCGAATGCCCCGATCCCAACCTCGTCCTTGCACCTGACCCTGAAGCCGCAAGAACACGAATCCCCGGAGCCCGAAAACAAGCCCTGTCGAGCCTCGTCAAGCAAGGCAAGCGCTTGCATCCACGCCATCGAGGACTGGCAAGAAGAGATGGCCAATGTGTAAGTGACCAGGTCCTTGGCTTTCGACCGTACAAGATCATCCCAAACCTGGAAAGGCGTCCCGCAAAAACTACTCAGCAGTTAGGCGGTCGAAGGTCTTGGCGACTAGTTGTGATTAGTTCTGCAATGCTCGATCTTCGTCTTGCTTCAACGCTACCGTGTCTCAGCAACGCTCGACCAAGGGAAGTCTTAAGTTTGCGGCCCAGCCTCTGGCTGCAGTTGCCGGGCCTCCATCTCTTCCTTAGATGCCCTGAGCCTTCACGCTCGGGACGAAGTTGTGGAGTGCACCCATCCCAACGCTTCAAACCGAAGCAAAGGCACCCCAAGGCCCCAAAGGCTGCCTGAGTTGCGATCAGTGCAACTGCACGACACCAAACATCTGCACAAGGATCCTGACAAGCACCTGTCACGGGCATCGTGGACAAGCAATGCACACGAACCTTGATGTAAACAAAGCGCGCAACGCCTCAGAGCCAAAAACGTGTAGTAGCTTTTAGAAGCCTTAGATCCGGCACGATCAACAATGCGCGATAAGCTTTGAGCCATTTGGGGCGTCGTACATATGCCGCCCCCTCTAAACCTGAGCTCCAAACCTGAAGATTGAGAAGTACAAGAAGTCTGTACACCTCCCCGAATGCTACAAGCTTCCCGATAATTTAGATTTGTAGTATGGGATGCTCCCTGCAGCTAAGGCACTGATAGCAGCATTGTAAGTTACGACCGTTGGCAAGACTTGGCAATCATGCAGCTGATTCAACAAAGCCATTGCAGCCCGCCACTCCCCGTCCTCCTTGCAAGCACTCATCGCCGCATTGTAAGTGACAGCATTTGGAAGCATACGCAAGTTCTCAACTCCTTCCAAAAGGAGGCACGCCTCCTGCCAGCGTCCAGCCTTCTCACACGCACTGATTGCAGAATTGCAAAGAATAATATCCACCTGCACGATTTGCTTCGCCGCCCAGCTTAGCAATCCCAACGCTTGCTCCCATTTAGCACCCCGCTCGCAGGCGCTCACAGCTGTGCTCAAGGCCACAACGTCGAGGAGTAAATTCTTGTCTTGTGCATGCGCAAGCAGGGCCAGGGCCATCTGCCACTTGGCAGCTCTCCTGCAAACATTGATGACAGCACCATGCACCCTTGCGTTCGCCTTCAACCTCTTGTTGCAGAGATCCGCCAAAGACTCGAGGGCTCGCTGCCACTGTGCTTTTGGCGCACAGGCATGGATGGCGTTCTTGTACTCACCCAGGTTAGCCCAGGCCTCTTTTGCACGGCCCTGCAGCATGCAAATGCGCCTAATTCAGTCCTGACTGCGGGGGAGGCAAAGCGGATTTACAGTAGCTTGACGACCTTCACGCAGTCTGGTTGCACAAAACCGAAGCGGCTCACCTCGTGTCCAGGCCTCTTTGCTCAATATTCACGGCTTGCAGCTCTCCCCGCATGTTGATGTACCGGTGGCAGCGTAACATCCCTTAAGCATTTGCCAATCATGTCGTCTGGTAAACTACGATTGGTGCCTTTACTTTTGCCACGTCATTCAGAATCAGCTGGCTTGGGAACAAACGCAATGCAAGGACTTGAACCTAACGACATGGTGTATTGGAGCCTGCTGATCCTTACGGAGGAAAAAACAACGCAATGAAACCTCCTCTCTCTCACCATGCTCCGACTCCCTCCACCTTCCTCCTCCCTCCTCCCTCCCTCCCTGCCATTGCACACCCCAAACCTTTCAGAAACGTATTCTCGAGCAAAGGGATTCTCAGCCCTCCCCGGCAGCCCGCAAAGAGGCCGTGCAGGCTGGCAGCCCGCAGCGACTCAGAGCCTTTGTGGAAGCCTTGAGGCTGTGTGGGCTGGCAGCGCGCAGCGACTCAGAGCCTCTGTGGAAGGCTTGAGGCCGTGCGGGCTGGCAGCCCGCAGCGACTCAGAGCCTTTGTGGAAGGCTTGAGGCCGTGCAGGCTGGCAGCCCGCAGCGACTCAGAGCCTTTGTGGAAGCCTTGAGGCCGTGCGGGCTGGCAGCCCGCAGCGACTCAGAGCCTTTGTGGAAGCCTTGAGGCCGTGCCGGCTGCAGCCCCGCAGTGAGCCTTTGTGGAAGCCTTGAGGCGGTGCGGGCTAGCAGCCAAATCAAAGCCTTTGTGGAAGCCCTGAGGCCGTGCTGCTGGCAGCCCGCGGCGACTCAGAGCCTTTGTGGAAGGCGTGCGGGCTGGCAGCCCGCAGCGACTCGGAGCCTTTGCAGAAGCTTTGAGGTCGTGCGGGCTGGCAGCCCGCAGCGATGCAAGTGCTGGCCCTCCCCTCCCCCTCCTCCCCCCCGCTCTTCCTCCCCCCTCCCCTCCCTCCCCTCTCCCCTTCTCCCCCTCTCCCCCTCTCCCCCAAATCCTTTAGTGGGATGGTTTACGAAGCTTGTGAGGTACCATTTGAAGCCGGCCTCAAAGAGGCCTCAAATGCGAATCCCCAATACTGAGACCGAATTTAGCTTGGGTTGAAGCCGGCCTCAAGCAGGCTTCAAATGCGAATCCCCAATACTGAGACCGAATTTGAAGCTCAGGGGACAACAAAAGGATTTAAAATTCTT